CTTTTCCTTTTTATTTATTCCCGGCGTGTAGTGGACGCCCTCGAAGCCGTCGGCAAACGACCGCAAAACCGCACCTTCCATCGGCGGCGTAGAGCACAATGCTGACTACCGACAAACCGGAGCAACAAAACCGCTCGTAAAAACCCCGTTTCCGTCCAACCTGTTTGCCGAAATGTGCGACGACACCGTATAAAATCTACGTGAATATAAAAACAATCTTGATGAGCCTAGCTGACATCGCGCAATGATTTAGATCAATACACAGATACGTATCGCTGGTTTACTATACATAGTAGGGGAGGCCAAGCGGGGATTTTGGGATTTACTCGAGACCCCCACCAAATATTAAACCTCTATATAGAGCCGGGGATCCAGGGGATTAGTAAATAAAAAAAATCGATCGTTCGAAAACTCGAGCGCGTCAGATTAAGGTATGGTGTGTTAATTACATGTAGAAAAGTGTACATTTCAAAAATCTGACGCGCTCGAGGAAATTTTTTTTTTTCCCCCCCTTTTTTGACCCCTTCCTACAGCTAACCCCACCACGTAAACCGTCAGATTAATATTTATCCGTTATCAGAAACACATGGGTCGCTTACACTATTTAATATCTGACACGCTCGAGTATTTCATTGTCACTGTTTTTTTTGAAAGCCTGTACACGCTCCCCCCACCACTGAAACGGCATACATCATATAACCTTTTTTTCTTTTTAGCATCTAATCTTCACAATCCAATAGGTCCCCACGACGCTCGAGTAAATCCACATTTAGCCTCTCGGCCTCCCCTACTAACAATGATATCGTTTAAAAAACAAAATTTTTCAAAAAAAGTTTCAATGTTTTAAGTCGTTTTAGGTAATTGTAATATTATTATATAACTTTTTTTGAAATGCAATTTCGGTATCATAATTGATTGTAGAGGAATAAAAGTTCTTTCAAAATATGTGCTTTTCCTATTTTTTCCTTCCATTTTTTGTGCAAGCAATTAAAAAGTGACAATTGTTTAATTATGCTGTTGTTGTAGGTAATAAGCAATATATTTAACGTATGAAATATATAACATGTGAGATTAGAAAATCCCCAAAAGCCTTCAGGCTGTCATTTTATTAATTACAAAATTGATGTTCAATGATGCTTTTTTGTTTTGCTTTCTGGTTCATTTCCTTGTCATTAATACGTACTTTCATTTGCTTGTAAATGCGATCACCCGTCACGAAATGTTGCACTTAATGGTGCAACTTGAAGAACATTAATTCTTCTCTGCCTCTTTTACGACTTCTCTCTAGATTTTGTTTCTTTTTCAATGACGAGCGAAATCACGTGGTTGTCGTTAGTGACCATAAGTGGTGCATGTAACGATTAAAAATTATGGCGTTTGACGAAGAAACATGTGTTCTCTTTAATTAACGACAGCTTTTGCATAAAAAATTTTGATTAAAAGAAGCGAACCAATTAAAAATAAACTCAACATTGCATAAACGATTTCGTTAATAATTGTTAAGAAAACAATTGTAATCGTTGCTAATCGCATTATCTTATCAGATTCATCGAAACAATTTTATATTAATTTTACTAAATTATATTTATAAAATTATATATATATATATATATAATTATTTTACACATAAATTTATTGCAAATTTTTAATGTATATTGTCGAATAGATTAAATGCCTTTGAACCAAATGCCCATGATAAAACAGTTTGTCATAAAGGACATTAAAAACTTTAAATTGTGATGGCATATGTGTCGCAGTATATGATGCATGCGATGCGTACATTACATTCCGACAGTGACGAATAGCGAGAGAGATTGGTCATCGCGATTCGCAACGTCAAAACTTCGCTCATAAATTTTGACACGTTTGGTTATCGAAAGTCTCTACTGGCATATACCACACATATATGACGTATTCCATTCTACCATTTCAATGTAAATGGCAAAATTGGTAAAATTGATATAATAAACAGTTCAAATCATAAATCAAAACTGATCTTAATAAACGGATTTACTGCTGTCGTATTAAATTTTCGTGTTATATTTTTAACGTTTTATTTTATACGTAAACAGATTGCAAAATGTTCTGTGTGCATATCTGACAGTAAATAATAATAATTTTAACAAATCATTTTCTTTTAAAAAATATTTGAAATGTACATGGAAAAAACAGTTTTGTTGAAGTATCTAAAAAAGCTATTCATATAAATCTAAAAATAATTTTGTTCATCCATTAAAATAATTATGTAGAAACTAAAGTAAGATGAGCAATACTGCAAAAAATTTTGACATTCTAATAAGCAACTTGAGTGGCCCACATAATTATTTTGATAATTTGATACAATTATTTTTAGGTTTGTGCCTATTTATTTAGCTAGATTTTTAAATACTTAGCGCAAAACCGTATTTTCTACAAAGAATTTTAATTATGTCATATTATTTATATGATTAATTATATGTTTGCTGTTATTGAAAATATTTAAACGAACAATATAGATTATTTCCTGAAATTTAAATAAAGCAGCATCTTGCTCTTTTTATAAAATAAAATCTGCGATGCCGTCAAATAACCACGTTTGCAATTAGAGTAACAAATTGAGCACAGTTAACGGCAAATAAAATCCGTCGACGGTAGAGCTGACACGACAGTTTTCAATTAGGCTAGTCTCATCTCAGGCGCTGACAGATTGGAGAGAGAGTTGAATATCTTCCATTTTAAAGAAGAAAAGGTTCGTTAATTTGAGACTGGTTTACACGACTCCATAAAACCCGTAATGACAAGAGACATAGAACCGAGAATAGAAACCGGGAAGTTAATAACGCCATAGGTGGCATAAAGTTCTGTCGCACAATTCGTAGAAAGCTTACAGAAAACGCTGAAGCTCAGAGTCACGTGCACTGTGATTGATGTTTCCTCGACTATGTCTCGTGAAGCGCGAATATAAAAGAAAATAATAGTCCCTTATTCTTTTAATATTTAGCAAGAATTCAGAAAATCAAGAATTTTTGAAAAAAAAATTATTTTTGGATGATGATGAAAAAAAAATTTTTCCAATATTAAGTGAAAATTAATCAAGAAATGTTTAATACAAGTTAGAAAGCTATATTCAATGAAAATAGCCTTAAGTGATACTTTTTGTGATAAATTCTCTGTACTGTAAACTACTTTTAAAAGTGTTTTCATTGTCTCAGTGATATTTCTGTTGTTTCTTTGTTTTCTGAGAAAGATTTAGCACAAGTTGGCTTGCGAAATATTCTGTATTTTTTTCTAAGCGCAGAAATACGATAAAAGGCAATCTTTAACATTTCGTTAGTCGCAAAAATATTCAATTGATGTTAAATGAGATCGTAAAGGCTTTTGAACTTTGTTTGCGTCAACTCATTATCTCGATTCACTATTTTCTTGAACAATTTTTATTTAATCGTAACCGTTGCGTTGAAGTTGCTTATGATAACCGCAAAGCTGTTTTCCATCGCTTGTGGAATCGTTCGATTTGATTGCGCTTCGATGGTAGTTCAGATTCCTTCTTGGCGTAAGAGATGCGCGAAATTATTTTGAGAAGGGAGAGAAGAAAATGATATTTCGAAAGAAATTTTCGTAATAAAGATATTACCTGCGAGACGTTCAAGAAATTCCATTTACAGATAATTTCTTAAAAATATAATAGTGTTAAGAAATCAATGTTAAAATAACAAATAATTAAAAATATTACTTGCTCATAAAGAAATATTATTATAAATTTATAATTTTCTGAGACGTATCATATTGTTATTGTTATTTCCATAGGTTGATTTATACAGATCTATATGCAAATTGTTATTAAATTATTAATATATTCTATGAATAAATCGTACGTTTCTTATACGCATTAATTCAAGTTACGATTAAAACCTGCGAGTATATATATTATCGCAATGGCGCTCTGCATGTATCAATTACGCTGTGTAAAATATTATACTATACTACATTTGCATCAATATGAAGAAAGACGATATGTATGCATTCTCGATTTCAGCCATGGCTGACGAGAGCGGTGGCAATAATAATTATCGTAATAATCCGCAACGAGTGTTCTCTCTCTCTCCCTCTCTCTCTCTCGTCGTTGAAATCCCATTGTCCTTAGAAAACGTTACGGCCGCCACGGGTATTAGCTTACTCCGACGATGGAGACTCGGAAGGTCGCGGTTTGCAAATAACTTTCCTTCTTTTATTACCGAGATCAACGCAAAACCTTTTACAATGGCGCGGTTGAGATATTGGTGAATGTATGTACAGTGTATGTACGAGTAATATATCTCGAGGGTCACATATCAAATATCGTGGGTGAGTATAAGAATAAGCCTAGGGAGAGGTATCAGGCTTTCCTCCGATCACAGAGTTTCTTGTTAATGTTATGACAAAAAGAAATCAAAGTCAAGAAATTCTTCACGGTTTATTATTATGCCGTTTTTTATGCTGTACATTTACACACGTAATAATCATAAAAATAGGTATCATATAACACGGAATAAATTTACTGCAAGGTAGAAAGTAAAGTTGTGTAAAAGGAAAAATGAAATAAATATCTTATATTGATTTGTAATAGTATAGTTTTTAAAAATATATTTAAATTATTATTCCTTTGACCCTTTAGATATCCTCTGTACATTGCAATGTATATCAAATTTGAAGATATTATTCGTTAAAATTATTTGATTCTATCAACATCATTGAAATCAGACAGATGCACATAATAATGTGTACATGTTGGAAAAATAGAATTGGAAAAAAAAAATAGTTTTTAATACGAATTACTTATCAAAATACCCGAACTTAAAAAGGAATTTTGTTTACCACTAAAATTAAGTCTGAAAGGGTTTACTTACAATTAGACTTTAAATTTATAAGTGATAATTAAATTTAAATGAGTCGTTAATTAATACTTTTATAAATGAATACAAAGTCTTAGCCATTAATACATATCAACACTTTTACTTTAATCTGATAAATGATTGTTCCAGACTGCGTTACACACCGGAGTTGGTGCTCAGCAGCAGCTATTGGAACCCAGGATGGCGCAGTTGGAGACTTTAGAGGCTAAGGTAATGGAAAACTTTTAAATCTCGCAATTTTCCTGGAAAAAGTTCTGGAAATTAGGGTATTTGGCGCAAAACTATTAACTGTGCGAAAATTCCAATCACGTCCTGAAGTGAAATGATGCGCGAGAACTCACGCGATAGGAAGTTATCCCGCGTCAGCCCTTACTCTCCTGGTTCTTGATGTCCTTTTTGCTCTTCTTCCTCGTGCCTGGCGGCGGTGCTGTCTTGTGGGAGCTGTTTTTAGTGGTACCCTCGGAAGAAACTGAAGGCGATGTTTCGCGGTTATTGGCGAGTCGGCATTATAGCCCGCTGGTTTCTTAAGCCTGTCCGACCAATGATTTATATGCAGATGCGTGAACCAAAACCCCGTTTGGTCCGAAGGTCCTCAGACCCGAACTCGGTGTCCGGTTGGGCGGGTGGCAAAAGGGGGACCAGAGGCCTCCGCTCGCATCGGTGCCATTAAAAGTGCCCCAGCGTGGACGCCCAGTGGCGTAGCAGCCGCAAGAACTGCTCGGCTTTTTTGCCGAGATATACAGAACGCGACAAGAACGTTAGATCGAGGATGCAACGCTCGCGAGCTCGTTTTTCGACACAACGACGCTTTTACCCTTTCTTTCTTTTTTGTACGTCGTTTAAGTCGTCGGATTCCTCGCGCCTGATTGCAGGGAAGGGCAGGCTGAAATTGAAAATTATGCGGGCCGCGACGCGCTATTACCTGCTTCACGACTTCCATGCGCGTTTTTCATAAACTACAAAACCGCTTTGTGCAAAATCCAGGAAGCTGTCTTTATTAGCTCCATTAATATTGCGGTCGAAAGTAAAAGTGAAATCTACAAAAACTCGTTTAAACCGAGGTGGAACAAACACAGGGTTAATTAAAGGAAGATGTATAATAAATTCACAAAAAATGCCGCGTTCCACGAAATTATATATAAATCTATGAATAAATAATATGGACCTCTGGAAAATACACTATTAATTTTTCTATTTTATTAATGAGAAGTTGGCCTATCATTTGCTTGTAATACACATTTTATCCTTGTTAAAGTAGAATTATACAATGTCTGAGTATAGTTACTAATAAAATGTATTATTATTTTAAATAGAACTCTTTCAACTGCTTATATAAATACTAAAAGGAAATGTTCTCCTCTCTATTTTCTCTGTCATTTGTTCTCTAAAACTTTAACATTTTCTTAGATCAATGCAATCACCTAATTTAAAAATTAGTTTTAAATAGCAGAATGAGAAACAAGTTTCTTTCTTCAGTATTTTTTAAGCAATTAGAAAATTCTGCTAGAAGAATAACAATTGCTACACTATTCAAGCATATATGATTCTATTCCAAGAAAGATAGAATCTGTATTAATCATAGATAATTGGCCAACTTCTTCTTTCTCTTTCAATAAAACGAATAAATAGTATATTTCAGATACCCACATTATTTTATCTATCTTCTGTAAATGCTCTATCTGTTTGTCTTTAAATATTTCCGATGTTATATGTTTAGCTTTATCGAGAGTTGCATTTTAAACTGTTTTAAGCTATTTTTTTTCTCCTAAAAGCCAATATTTGAGAATTTTCCTCATGTATGTGCCCTCCGTCGTAAAACATTATATCTGCAAATATCTATGTTGCCAAACGATACATGCAATAAATCAGAGTTATTGCTGGTGAACAAATATTTGACCGAAACAAAATCAGTGTAGCTAATTTATCTAGCATACCCCTGCAACCACCACGAAGCTCGAAGGGATTATCGATTGCATTTCCACTTAATAGCAGTGTTGCGATGACGGAGCGCCGTACTTCGCTAATAAATGGCCGCGCTACTTGTAGTTAGACGTAGACTTAATTACCCCATCGGGAAAGATGGTCGCAACCACACCCCGATCGCCGCCGGGCGATGTTGAAGTACAGTTGAAATAATACACAAGCTAATTATCATAAGTACAATCGTTTTCCTCATGTAATGGATTCTTAATGCGACGTTATCAATCATAATGCGCTCACATTTGTTCTATTTCAGTCTCAAATAATGACGATATTGTTATTTAAAATAAAGATACAGCTCGCGAGTGGTGATTTTAGATCGCTGATGCACTGGGTTTCGATAACTGTAATAATTCAACTAAAAACAAACAATTTTAGGTCACCTATTCTAGTTGTAAAGAATTCCACATTAATTATATGGAAAATTGGATTTCGGTGAAATGAGTTAACTTTCACGTATGTGATTATAAAGTTTTTATAATCACAAGGCTTCAATAAGGGATAGTTTTTGAGTCACCATATACCAGAAATATAAATAGAAAACTTTTACTTACAGAGCATCTTTGATACACCATAGCTAAAAAAAAAACTATCCATTATTGAGTTGTTATTATTCTGTGATATTGTTTTCTATATCATCATTTTGTTCACATTTTGTAATCTATATTCTTTCTAAATTTGTAGAGTGACTCTTACTCTGAAGAGTGAAATTTCACTTTTAAAGATTGAAAATTGAGCTAGTCTTTTTCAGGACTGAGTTAAAAAAATTTATAGAGTTATTTTATATAGATACATATATATACATTAATTTATTTTACTGAAAATCTAAATTTCCATATTTAATTAATGCTAGGTTCTTCATAATCTCGATGGAGTTATAATTATAGAAATGATTATAAAAGTCCACAGGCGCAAATTTCTCTTAGACTGAAAATTCCACCAGCGTTATTAAACTGTGTCCAAAGAAAAGGTATACGTAAAAGTAAAAAAGAATAGCAACTATTTATCGTCGTATAATATTTACTTCTGTTTGCATATTCATCTGTTTGATGAGACACAGCTAACATTTACTCTCGTCGAAAGGATCGGGTTTCTGACGGAAAAAGGAGTTGAAAATGCCTCGCAATACTTAACTCACTTGACGAGACGAAACTGCTTAGATCCGGGTAGCATATTCCGCGTTCTAATTTATAGGTTCGTCGCATAGAGTATACCGCAAGGTAACATGTACTCTGTATAACTTTATATCGTCTCTAATCTCGTGCTTTAAGCCTCGTCGCGTCTTTAACTTACTTCGACTCCGGAACGACGAATAGCGAATTCCCATTCACACTCGGCACGCACGCTCGCGCGTCCATCCGTATCGAATATTATTTTGATAAATGCATATCCGCCGGTCATTATTTATCGTCTGCGTTTGCTGAGCCCTTCTTCTCGCAACGAGTGGACCCGTCGACCTGGACAACGGACACGCCCTCGTATCACCGAGGCAGTCGAACCGATCCGGTTTCCTTACCAGCGTCGTTAAGTTCACGTTCTCAACCGTATCTTCAACCTTGTCCATTGTATGATACAAGTTTCATATTGGACGTCTTTAACGTTGGAAATCGCGGGAAATCACGCTACGCGCGCTTGAAGGTGCAACATTGCCTTTGAAGACGCAACTGGTTTTTCTATCGCAAATAGAGAACGTGAGCGACTACAGCGACAAAATAAATGAAGGAATCGAAGTCGTATGAGGAAACTGAGAAACTGAACAAAAAATACCGATTTTGATATTGTCAGTATGTTTTTGTGTTCTTGTGTAATCGTATAAAATTTTATATTATATTTCATATATACGTTATAAATATTCGTGTGGAAATGAAACTGAAAATATTATTTCAATGAATAACAGTTATTTTTAATACTCAGACTCTTATATGCCCTTTATATATGTTTGTTGTTGAATATTAAGAGTCCTTTACTAATTTTTTAAAAATATTAATAAAAGAAATATCTTAGAAATATAGATTTCTTTAATTTCTAATGTTTGAAAATTATTTATGTTAAAAACACATTTATAAATATTATTTTATGTCTCACAGTTTAGAATTACTTATAAATAAAAATAAAAAATTTTGTTTTGTGTGACATAAATAGTATGAGTCAAATCGACTTCCACGAGCACTTACGTGTGCAAACACTTATGGATCTTATAGGTTAAACAAAACAAACTTTTTTGTTGAGACTGACATACAGTCTTTATAATGCAACATGGATTTTGTGCGGATTTTAAAGAAGAAAAGCGATTTTGGTGAGCTTCCAACTTGTCTTATATGAAATTCAACGCGATATTTACGCTTGAGCGGATTCGCACGGCGACGTCGCGTTTTGCTTTCGCGACGTAAGTCGAGGCAAAGAAGAATGCCGCGTGCTGGGGGCACGATATGAATAATGAAAAAGAACGTCGGGACTCGAGACTCGAAGAGGTTGCATCAACGTCAGTAGGAAGCATCCCTGCTCAGGACGCTTTTAAGGTGGTTGATCCCTGGCGGGTAAGAAAGGATCTTTTATCCGCGCTTCCGTGAGCAACGGAAACCGTCTTGAGAAATCCGCTCCAATTGTATTATGTCGAATGACACGGCCATTTTATCAGGAAAGGGGAAAAGATAATTTTTGTCGTGTGCATAAAGAATTTTTATGAGTAGAAATATACTGCACGAAAATAGAAATTAAAAACCTTTTAAAAACGTAAAGAAGGACTTGTTATAAATTTGTGATATTATTAATATGTACAAGATTTATACTTAATGTTTGCAAGTTAAAAATAAAAGTTTAAAATATATTCTAATATTTTTTAAGTTATTCACAATACTTTTACAAAAGACTAAACATTATTATCTTAGTAATCAATTGTATTATATCGTATTAGTGATAGGCATTTAAATTCTTCTTCTATGAAAGCTTTTAAAGGACTCGATCGTGCAAAAATTTAGTATTAAATATTATTCATAGTCAGAAATATTTAAAAGTCTTGAAACTTTTAAATGTTTTGAAGCTCTTAAAAATTTAAAAGATTTTTCCTTCAAAATGTTTGAATATCCGAGACACATTTGAAATATTTAAAGATAGAATTGTATTTTATTTGTCTGTGTATAAATTGAAGTGTTGAAATAATATCGTAAATTTTACAGTAAAAAAGGAATACATATTTGAAGACTTTTAAAAATTAAAAAATTTTTTTAAAT